CAGAGCAAACCAAGGAGATCCATGAACAATCTGCCTGGACTCACAGCAAAGCAGCAAACTCTGCTTTGCCATGGGGTTAATTTACATGTATTTTTAAAATTATTTTCTAATTTTCTTCAGTACAGGGAGCACCGCAGGTACCTGGTAAGTTGTCCCGTGCTGGGTCACCAGAGGTTTTGCTTCAGCTGAGCCAAAGTTGTCTTGAAATGGATGTTGCTGTACTCCTGGGAAAGTACCAAACGGCACCGGTTCGATTTACGATGAGCTTATTGGGTGGGGAATGGGGGGAATTGCAGCGCTGAGTTGAGGAATATTAAATGTATGCTTGTGAGGAGAAAACCAGCCACAAAGGCTGCTGCCCCATGTGTGCAGGAAAGCCCATTTTCTTCATGAAAGTAGAGTTTCTCCTAACTAGTCAAGCAGCAGCTTTCAGCTTCTGCTGTGGCCGAAGGTGTTAGTTCAGTGGCTGACTCAAAACCAAATCATCATTGCCTCTGAAAATTTGTTTGAAGGATGGGTTTCTTGAAAACTTTGTCATATCTGAAGGGACAGAAAAAAAACACAGAGTGCTGGAGGAAACGGCCGTGACCACAGAGAAGTTTGGCACTTGTTTTTCTGCTGGTTTAACATCATTTTGCTGGCCTGAATATATGGGTCGGTGTCTCTGAGGGAACGCTATTCCCACGTGTTGTAGTGACTTAGTGTGTTTGCAAGAGCTGGCCCCAGCTTCAGGTGGGCAAAAATATGACTTTTTTGCAGATGTGCAAGTATCGGTTTCCAAAGGAAACATGCACTTCTCTTTTATTTTAGGCCACTCCTCCTAAATAACCAGTGTTATAAATGGGGGGGTGGTTGGAGCAGGGTGGTTTTTCTAAGGAAAAAGTGTTTCTCAATGTGTTGATCTGTACTTTTGGTAACGTCCCCTCTTGCATGGCACAGATGTGGAGGGAAGGAGGATTAGGGATACCGCACGATGAGATTGAGTTTCTGAGGAAGAACAGCCAATTTTTTGTATGATGGGGCAGTAAAAGGCTGTGGGAGAAAACCAAACCCCCGCCAGTATCAGTGGGAGGTTTTCCCTTCTGGTACTTACCATGGATGCTCAGAAAAATCACAGCTGAGCCCAGGAGGAGGCTCAAGGGCAGCAGCAGCACCACAGCTGCTTTGTACTGACATTGGTGATAGGATGGGCCTGAGGAAAAAACAAAACAAAACAAAACAAAACAAAACAAAACAAAAAAAAAAAAAACATTTTGGACTTTATGGAGAAATTAGAAGTGCTGAGTGATGGAAGAACCGGTCGCAGGCATCAGGGGTGCAGCGCTGGGTATCCCCAGGTGCATCGCCCTTCTTTTGCTAGTGCAGCCTTAAATCTAACCCCGTGCAAAAAAATGGCATAACAAGAGTTGCGCCATCTTGAGCATTGGCCAAAAAAAATGGAGCAGAAATAAAGGAGTAAGGATTGCTAAAGAATTACATTTCTTTGCATTGGTTTCCAGGGTAGGCAAGAGGCAATGGCAGACTGACCATCATTTAGGGAGATGAATCTGGAAGTGCCCAAAGGCTGAAGCATGAAGCTGATGGACAAAATGCCCCCTGAGCCCCTCGTTGAGATTCCTCATGGCTTTTCCCACCTGTGCAGCGATGCTGACTGAGGGGAAAACCCAGGGGAAGGAAAAGGAAAATGAATAGCAAAAATTTTTACTCCCCTCCCCCCCCCAGTTTCTTCTTGTGGCCATTCTGGCCGAGAAGATCGCTGGTAGCTGGGTCCATCAGCTTGGGTGTCAGGTTGGGGTCCTTCACCTTCACTTTGGTCATGATGCTGTAACCTCTGTCGTCCTCCATCGCTGGTGCTGAGTGAGTGATGGATGAAGGAGGGAAGCTTTTATGGGCAGGTGGTTAGGTGAAGCTGGTGGAGGAAGCCCTCCCCGTTCCTCCTGCCACGCCAGCGTAGCCCTTTGCAAAATACAGATTTCTGAGTGGTGGGCCTGGACCTCGGGGTGCCGGGGGCAGCTCGCACGACCTTTCCTTGGGGGGCTGCTGAAGTCTCAGGCTCCTCCTTGTCAAGAAAAAGTTGGAGACACACTCCTGGGAAACATCAGGAACCTCAAGATGGGAAAACATAGGTTCCTAAAGAGGTAAGCATCAGCAATCTTGATCTGGGAGCGCTCGTTCTCCTCTTGAAGACTCATGTCCAATCACGAAGCTGTGCATGTGTTGTTTTTTGTGGTTTGGTGGGTTTTTTTGTTTTTTTTTTTTTTTTTTTTTTTGTTTTATTGCAGCCTGTTCTCAGCTAGGAGAAAACCCAGCTTGTCACCTTGTGTGACTTCCCGGGTCCTGGCCGGGCAGAGTTTGGTGCCTTTTTTTTTTTTTTTTTTTTTTTTTTAATGTGTTGCCTCCACACTTGATGGCATCAAAATCAGCACCGCACCCCAAGTGTTGGCCTCCCAGGAACAGCAATGAAGGGACACCCAAACCTTTGATCCCCATGACCCAGCTTTGAGTCTTAGGGCTTGTGGTTAGAAGAGTTTGGGGCAGGGATGGGACAAGTTAGATCTTGCCTGTCCTGATGGTATTCTCCACAAATACAAAAAGAGGCAGCGAGACCCAAAGCCACTTTACACCTCATGGTCTCACCACCCGCCTCTTGACTCGTCTTCCCTCGTGGAAAGCATCGTGGTCCATGAGGGATTATTTTTCTCCTGGAGTGCTCAGCTTGCAGCTGGACGCTTTGTTGGACGCATCTTCAACGGGTCAAGGTGGATCCCAGGCTCGGGTGTTTGGGTAGGTGACGATGAGCATGGCCACCTGCTCCTTCCCCGGGGACGTGGTGTCTGTGGGCAGGGGACTGGAGCACCCCCCTACACCCTTGGCATGCCGGGGCGGGGGGGTGTCACACCAATCACCCCCAACCATCTTCACCGCCAACACAACCCACGTGAAGATGTCTTGCAGATGGCTAGAGTGGCGTTTAATCCATTTATAATATTGATATGAATTTGGGTTTTCTCCAAATGGGCAGGGTGGGTGGTTTCCCTGGGGAAAAGGGGGGGCCAGCACCAAGGATGCAAAGAGCCTCCCCCACCCCAAAGGTCCCCAATGCTCAAAGAAAGATGGGGACCACGCAGAGCAGGGATGTGTACCTCCCAGCAAGAGTCTGAAGGCAGAAAGTTGGGGGGGGGGGGGGGGGGGGGCTGTGACAACAAGAAATGGTGTGTTGGACTCAAACCCAAATGCATCCCGATAAGAATGAAAATATATCTTGTTCTTCTGGTAATCATCCTTCCTGCACCTTTCCCTGTGCACCCCAAGAAGAGCCCGACCCCCTATCACCCATCACACTGGGCAGGCAACCTCCATTTTGGTGAGAAATGAAGGAATTATCATTCCTGTGAGGAACGGGGGTGATCCAGAATCTGGTCAGCATCAATCAAGCGTGTTGTCCCCAAGTGAAAATAATCCTTTTTTTTGGGGGGAGGACAGAAGATGCTATTTGAGGCAGCCAAGCAGACGTTGTGTGTCTGTGGTGAGATCATGTCCCCTGTCCTGGGTTGAGTGAGTGGTGGAGTTTTTTGGTGGCAGGGGAGGGGGCTATCGGGGCGGCCCCCTGTGGGAAGCTTCTCGAAGCTCCCCCAGCTCCACGTCAGCTCCACTTCTGTTTGGGAAATTGAGCCCATCAGCTGCGCCTCTGCGATAACGTATTTAAGAAGGGACGTGGTGAGGAGCAGTGGGACTGGTGAGGAGGAGTTGCTGCAGCTGCGTGAACACCAAGGTCAGTGGAGGAACGGAGGAAGAAAGGAGGGGGGAGGTGTGCTGGAGCAGAGACCCCCCTGTATCCTGTGGGGAGACGGCAGGGCGGCCCCCCCCTGCCACCCATGGAGAGCAACGGTGGAGCAGACATTGATTTATGGCCTGTGGCTCCTGCTCGGAATAATCAAGGTTCTGTGTCCGAAGAAGGCCGGGGTCTTGTGGGAAAAGGCAGCCCCGCTGCTGTAATTCAGTGCTGGGAGGATTGCAGCATGTGGGGGAGTCCCACGCCGGAGCAGCTCGGGAAGGGCTGCAGCCGTGGGAGGGAATCCAGTCGGAGGAAGTTAGTGACCCATGACGGAGCAGTGTGGGGAACGCTGCGGCCTGTGGGAGGGACTCATGTCAGAGAAAGTTTGTGGAGGACTGTTTGCTGTGAGAGGGGGACCACGATGGAGCAGGAGGAACAAGTTCTGGACACTCCCCTCACCGAAGATGAAGGAAGTGGCAGCGCTGCCTGCACCCCCCATTCCCTGCCCCTGCGCCCCTGGGGGAGGAGGTAGAGATATCGGGAGCAGAGCTGAGCTTGGGAAGAAGGGAGGGGTGGGGGGAAGGTGTGCTCAAGATGTGGCAATGCTTCTCACTGCCCTACTCTGTTATGTGGTGTTAGTGTCTGTAATAAATGTATGTTCTTTTTTTCTTCCCCTAACGAGTCTGCCTTTTGCTCGTTCCCATAAAGGGGGATTTTTCCCCATCCCAGTCCTATCTCGAACCCCAAGCCTGGCTCTCTGTCCCTTCTCATTGCCGGAGGGGAAGGGAGAGAGAGGTGCTGCCTTGTGGTTGGCTGCCGCCCAGGCCTAAACCACAACATCTCCAGACATCAAAAGTTTATCCCTGTGGTGACAACATGGGGGCTTTCCCAGGGCACCTCAGTCTCCCCACGCTTTTTCTCACCACCTTCAATCCTCCTCCTCCTCCTGTTCCTCCCCAAGGACTTTTTGCACTGGATTTAAACTCCCATCCTGCACCTCCTTCTCCTTGGAACATTTTTTCATCCTTCTGGACTGTTTTTCCTTCAAGCTTGGTTTGGGTTTGTGTTTTTCTGGTGTTTTGACTTTTTTTTTTTTTTTTTTTTTCCCCCTTCCGCCTGGCATCTCAGCATATTGGTTTTTCCCCTGCAGCAGCATGATGATTCAGAGCCACATTAGCCCAGTCTGAGCTTGCCTTTGCCTGCAAACCATTTCAAACCAGTCCTCAGGAGCTGCCAGAGTGGGTGAGAAACTGCAACCCTTTGAGGGGGGGGCAAGGTGCCTTTAGCAGCACCCACCTACAGGCTTCTTAAAAATCCCCCCTCAGCGGGATTTATTCAGCAAAAACCATGACGGAAAAAAAAAAAAAAAAAAATTTATGTGTTTGGAACCTCTTAAGCATAAAGCTTAAAACAACCGCTGGTTTCTTGGAGTGGTCCTTCACCCCTTTGCCTTGATTGTGAGCCTGAAGTTGCATCCCAAATTATAAGGTGAGGCTGTGCAGTGTGTTTTGCCCACTGGGGGAGCGCGTCGTCCCGTCCCGCCCTGCACCCCACGAGACTCAAGCGACGTCTGGAAGTTCCTCACAGCCTGGGTATGCTCTGCAGGCAAGGTAAGCTCTGGGAAAATAAAGATTTTTGTTGTTGTTGCTATGTGGAGTCGTTGCGGGTGGCTGAGTCAGTACCGGCTGGAGCGATGCTGGGGCGGGATGGGCATGACCCGCCTCCCCCTGAGAGAGGGCTCGTGTTTTGTGGGGCTAAAATAATCAGCTGGCTATATTAAGCCAGGGGGGAAGAAAGCCAACCCTCCAAATCATTATTTTTCAACTGGTTTTATCGAAGCATTTGCTACTAAGGGTGTCCTGGGTCCCCTGCCTATATTACTGTGGGTTTTTTTGAGTTTCTGGATGTGTTTTTCAGCTGGTTTTTAATTTTTTTCCTCTCTGTTTTGCTGCTCTGTAAGCCTTCTTCAGTGGTGATTTTTTTTCTGCCCCTGCTAGCTAACAGGGTTGCTTTCTCTGGAAGGGAATTAAGAAAATCATGGGGGAAAGAGGGAAATAATTGTGTAATAAAAATGACTTACATTTCTTTGCATTCAGTGGACTTAATAGTGGTTTCGGGGGAGCTGGAGCAAACTGACTGGAAACCACAGTGGGCTTGGGAGGGATAAAACCAGGGCAGGAGCTCGGGCTGCCCTGTGTGATCTCTTAATTTGGCAGGGGGTGGGCTGTGAAAAACATGAACCTCCTTGGGGTCTTTTTTAAGGGACTTTTGAATTTTTACGTGTCGCTACAAAGCAGAACCGAAGCTTTCTGTTCGAAATAAAGAAAGTGAAAGCTTGGTCTGCAGAATTTTTTATTTTTTTTTTTTATTTCCTGGAACCCGCTTCGGTCAATACTCTTGTTTTTCAACTAGTAGCTCAACCCTTTGGCAGTGCTCCCAAGAGAGCAAACAGAGTTGGGGCTTTGTTCCACGGAGTTTTAGGCACCTCCAGCCCCCAGCCCACACTTGTTACGGCTTTTTCTCTTTCCTAGTACCAACTTTAACCCTTAAACCTGCTTCTGCAACGCAATATCCGAGCACACCTTCAAGCCCTGAATTTCTCCTCCTGCAAATCTCCTGTGCCTTTGCACTTTGTCCTATTCTGTTTACCAACAACTCGAACCTGCCCTGAATGTGACTTTAGAGCTTATTCCCGGAACAAAAAGTTCTACTTGTCGCAAGCCCAGCTGGCTTTGTAGGCGTTTATGTGTTTATTTTTGAATTCTAAAATACACAGGACCCAGAGGAGGAATAACAGCTGCTGTGCTATGCTAGCTTGCATATGGGGAAATGACCCCTCCCTTTGCTCTAGACAAGGGCGGCCGCTGGAGGAACAGAGATAACTTCTTATCTCAAATATGTTGCAGCAGCTGCCAAACATGCAACTCAATAGGAAAGTTTTTTTGCTAAAGCCAGCTTCCTTCCCTCCTGTTTCTGGGGGGAGTACTGAACAACAAGCTCAGCTTCCGTCTGTCAGGGAGTTTGCTTCCTCGCTGCAGCAACAGTTTCTAACTTGTGTCCCCTCATAAATACCTAATCTCCGTTTAGACTAGATAAAAGTTTATATTTTTCTTTTAATATCTTTGAATAGTGAAACTCCTTCTAAACTTCTTTTTCTAGTCCTTTTTTCCTCCTCTCTCCTGTTTTTTTCTCTTTTAAAAATATTTTTTCTTCTCTTTTTAGTTCTCCTCTTCTCTTTTTTGTTCTCCCCTTCTCTTTTGTGTCCTCCCCTCCTTTTCCCTGTCCTCCCCTCCTTTTCCCTGTTCTCCCCTCCTTTTCCCTGTTCTCCCCTTCTTTACCCTGTTCCCCCCTTCTCTTTTTTGTTCCCCCCTTCTCTTTTTTGTTCCCCCCTTCTCTTTTTTGTCCTCCCCTTCTCTTCTCTTTTCACCACCTCTCACTTTGTCCTCCTTTCTGTTTTTCTCTCCCTTCCGATGTGTTTTTAGCACAGGACAAACGTGCTCCTCTGCCATAACTTCCCATGGTATAGAGGCTCCGGACAGCTCGATGGGATCTTGCAAATTCGGGAGGTATGGCTGGCTGCAGATTTTCTCGGCTTTTTCCTTGTTAACACGCAGCCTGAGCCACGGTCTCCACGGACACCGGTGGATGTAAGCCTCTGGGTTGAGCACTTCTCTGCTCGGGATGGGGAGAGGATCCCAAAATCCGAATTCTTCAGAGCAAGATGAAGTGTTGAACAGCTACCAAGACACAGAGAAAGATTGCAAATGGGGTAAAGTCGGGAAAAAACCAATGCTTGGGGTGAGGGCACGGGGTGGGAAGAGCGTCTTGCTCCAGTGGAGCACTGGTGGGATGGGGATGGAACTTTCGGGTGGGCGCAGGCCAACCCAGGTGCATAGGCGCTAAAGTTCAGGATGTGGCCACTTTCAAAGGCTGAAAAGCCCTAAATCCGTCTCCAGGTTCTCAAACACACATCAGTGCCTCTGAAGGTCACCCGTCTGCTCTCCCTGCCTTGCGGGCAGCCTCTGCAAGCTCTCCCCACACCCCCAAGTCCCCCAAAAGATCCTTCTCCCGGCTGGAGCTCAGGATGGACTGAGGATCCAGCAGGAAAAAGGCAAAGGAGTGGGGGGATGTCCCAGCCCACACCTTCTCCTGCTCTTCCCTCCCCCAGGGTCTGGCGCCAAGAAGTCAGACCGGGAAAGGTCCCAGTCCTCACGGGTTTTCATCCCTGTGTGTGTGGTGCTGGTCCTCATCATCTTCATCCTGCTGGTGGCCTTGACAGGTGAGTCCCATCCAGGCATCCCCCTCCCTTGGGGAGGAATTCGGGCCAGGTACCCCTTTTTGGGGGAACGGGGGAGATCCCGGGGTTTCCCCAGCATTAAGGGGTGCTCCCCAAGCAAAGCACCATGTCTGCTTCGGGGGGGGGGGAAGCCCTTTTTTCCCTAAACTGTGATCCAGACATCCTGGCTCCTCGCTCAGTCACACCATTCCTTTTTCCAAGGGCATCATCCCCAATTTCACCCCTGCAGCTCCTAGGAAAACAAGAATAAATCCCATTTTCCTGCTTTTTAGGGCTGCCCACGCACCTCACTCAGCTTTCTCTTTTTCAGTTGTCCGTTTGGGATCCCATTCGCCTCACCCGCAGTTCTCCCACGTGTGCCCAGACACCTGGATTGGTTTCCAAGGGAAATGCTATTATTTTTCTAAATCTGAGAGCAATTGGACCACCAGTCAGGAAAACTGTGAGGCCCTGGGAGCTTCCCTGGCCCTCCTGAACACCGTGGATGAACTGGTAAGAACTGTGTTTGAGCCTCTGTGCTAGCACCAGGATGGGAAACTTGAAAAAAAATAACCAAAGAGACCAAAAGAAGCCCACAAAGACCCCAGAGCAAAATCCTGCTTGGCCCCTAATTGCACCCAGTGCTGTAGCCAGGAGCAGATGCCTTGGGCAAAGCACCATCTCTGGGTGGGGTGATGGACACAGGGGGAAAAGAGGAGGTGGGGAAGGCAAGACGAGCTAAAACACAGTGTTTCTTTGCTTCAAAGACCTTCATTAGACGTTATAAAGGCGAAGCTAACCATTGGTTTGGGCTGCGGAAGAAGGATGATGAGTGGTGGTGGACCAACGGCACGGCCCTCAACAACTGGTTGGTCCCTCTGCCCGTGTTGGGTGCTTGGGGATGGCAACAGGGGCAGGTTTCCCTCTTGGTGTGGTTTGAAATGGCCTTGGGGGGTTGTTGCATTCCTCCTTCCCCCCCTTGGATGGGATTTCTCAGAGGGATGACCCGTCCTGGGCTGGGGACCTTCTCCTGCCACCGTGTCCAAGCAGCTCCTGGCTTTCCATGGGAGGTTTGGGAGGAACCAAGGATGTTCCACACCAATCCCCTATTAGATACCCTCAGCCAAACGCTACCCTTCCTCTCCTAGAGAGGAAATCCCAGCTTTTTGCAATTTTTTGGGGGTAGATTTCTTCTTTTCTTCCTTTTCTCGCTCTCCTGAGCGTGTCGGTGTTGCAGGTTTGAGGTGCGGGGTGGTGGGTCCTGTGCGTACCTGAACGAGGAGAGGATCAGCTCGTCCCTGTGCCACACCAAGAAGAACTGGCTCTGCAGCAGACCCGACGACTATGTCCTCTGGAAGCAAAAAGCATATCCATCATAAAAGACCCCACAAAAAAAGAGCTTCATCCCAATTCTCTGACCAGCAGGTGAAACAGATCCAAGGATGGCTTTGTTTGGTAAAACCTTACATCTTACTCGAGCACCAACATTTATGAGTTTGTATTTTTATAAGCTTTTCTGCTCAGACCATCTAGACTATAATCGATTCATCCTTGCTGCCAAATCACTGCATCAGAAAAAGCTTATTAGATATTTCCTGTGTGCTTTTCAAAGCAGAGTTTTGCCTCTAAGCCAGTCAGGTCCATAAGCTAAGCACTTGAGTTGAAGTGATTTTAACAAAGAGATTTTCTTGCTGTTGGAAGGGGATGGAAAAAGGTAGGGAGGGAATTTGGTAAAATGGTGGATTTGGATGGGCTTGGAATATTGTGCAGTTTTTTTTTTAAATAAAAGAATAACCAACCAACCAACCAAAAAAAAAAAAAAAGGAAAAATGAAAAAATGAAAACAACCAATCAACTCTCGCCCCCCCAAATCAAAATCCAACCTGCCCCAAAAAAACTCAAACCCAAAAAACCTCAAACCCAAAAAACCTCAAACCCAAACAAACAAAAAATCCCCAACACCAAAAATAATCTGAAATCAAGACCAAAAAACCCCAAAAGACAAAAAAAGCCCCACTCCAACCCCCTAAAATCGTCACTAAACCCCAGCTGCCTGCACCCGTCCACGCGCTGATGCTCGCAGCTGCACCCCGGGAGCTGCAAACCCTTGACCGCCGCCATCGCTCATGAAAACTTTTCTTAATTAAACTTCACAATATTTGCAATACATTTAACGCCACCCCACACTCTTGTTTGTAAGTCTGTGATGTTTCAACAAACCGAAGCGAACCAGTTTTATACGTTTTTATTGATGCTGTAGCTCTAGCAACCCAGTGTCCAGGGCACAGATGTTTCTGGTTTCCCAGTCCCCCCCACCACCCAAAATATTGTCCTGACCTGTGTGGGAAATGCATTTGCAAAACCCTGAAACCTCTTGCAGAGCTGTTACGGTGAGGACGGGACTGGCTTCACCCCAAATATTGGCCAGCAAGCGTCTCGTAGACCGGGCGTTTCGGGATGGGCACATGTCAGAAAGAGGCATCGCATTTTTCCTCAGCTCCTGCCATCGATGGGGAGAGCTGGAAAGGGTCTTTCTGGCAAACCCACTGGTGCTCGCCGTCGCAGATATCGACCTCCAACGCCCCGTCTTTCAGTGTCCCGCACCCCTCATTCATCTCCTGCAGGGTGGTGAACCTGCAGAAGACAAATTTGATTGCTCCAAAGGAGCAAACTCTTCCAGGCTCGCAGAAAAGGGGAGGTGGGGGGGGGGGTTTCTCCTGCCTTTTTTTCCGCCCCGTCTCATCGTGCTAACAAAACCCAAAAGTTTTCTCGCTGGCAGGCGGCCCAGATTTGCGTACGGGCGGTCGTGTTTTGCAGTGAGGTCTGCAAGGAGCGCGCGTGGGCCGGTAAAAGCCGCGTTGGGTTGCGTGGGTGTGGTGGGAGGTGTTGGGTTACCGTGCTCAACAAACCCAACTCTTGGTTTGCGAAGGGTTGGAGGGGGGAACACGAGACCGTTGCATAGCCAGCGAAACCTTGGAGGGACGGGTTGGGGCACACACCAGGCCTGAAATGGAGCAAGGTTGGTTTTTCTGCCAGCGCGCTGTGGCCACACTCACATACTGGTGTTGAAGGGGGTGTTGTCCACCCATCTCCACTTCGAGTGGGACGAGAGCAATCCAATCCACACCGGCTGCGTGCCTCCGCCCGTTACATTCCTGATGTACTCCTGGGAAATCGAGGTGACACCGACATCTCCATCTGAGCTCCACATCCCTCCCCTTCCTCCCGTGTCACAGCGGGGTTGGGGCGCGGGGACACAGAGGGGATTTAGGGGGGTGATTCAGCCTTTTTTCTTCCCGGTCACTTCTTAGGAGACATCGGAGCAGGAGATGGGCGAGAGGCACCGTTGCATCTCCAAACCCTCCCGCTGCCAGGCACTTTTTGCTCCCCTGCCCACCTAAAAAAAAAAGGACTTTCTGGCCCTTTTCAAACCTTCTCTTCTGTATTTACCTTTTCTTTCTTGTCCCGGAGCACTACCAAGTGAGACCCCTGATTTTTGCAGCCTTTCTTGCCTTGATTCCAGTTCCCCTTTTCCTTGGAAAGCTGGTAGCATCTGTCCCCGTGGAGCCGCCAATCCTGGGGACATAATTTGCAGCCAGAACAGGCTGAAGAAGAGCAAGAGCCATGAGACAACCCAAAGAGTGGCCAAAGTCTTCCCCAACCCCCAGCTGAAAGGCACTGAGGGCTTTTCCATCCCAAGCCCCGGTTCTTTCCCCATCCTTGAGGGTTTTTCCACCCCGTTTTTCCTTAGTTACTAGAAAGCAGGACCGTGGTTGGGTGACCACGAGGACACGAGTGGCTGGTTGGGATGGAGGAAGGGTGGTGAGGAACTTCCTCCCTAGGGTTGGTCCTGCTCCTCCACGTATGTCAAAAAAAAAAAAAAAGAAATATTTCCTTGCAACACTTTGCCAAATAATCCTTGGTGGACCAACAACTTGCATCCCCAAGGGCAGCTTGGTGAATGAAGCGGCGGAGGAAACCCCATCGAAGGTCCCACCTGAGCATTCCCTTGGGTGGGAAGGGGTTTTACCTGCGGGGCTTTTGCACCGGGGCTGGCAGAAATACCGCATCAGGGCTGAAATCACGCATCGCTCCGTGTGGTTCCTTCCCTGGGTCTCACCACCGTCTTGCCAGGGAGCGTTTGTCCCCGTTCGCCACAGAGAGCCCTGAAAAACTTGGAGGAATGACCCCAGGGTGAGATGTTACGTCCATTCGGGGATGAAACCACCCCCCCCAAAAAAAACCCAAGTAGGGCTGGGTTTGATTTTGTGAGACCCTTCTTTTTCTTCCCATTTAATTAAACCAGCCTGAAACCCGTGGCTTATATCCTGCCCCCTTGCTTAAAAGCTACGGGGATAGTCCAGCTTTCCTTCGGAGAGGGTTCACTCTTGGTGGGTGACACATCTTGTTGCCGTCTCCATGGGGCAACCTTGTCCCTTCCAAAGGCTGCAATAAAACCCGACTCCCCCTCCAAGCTCACTCGCCGGCATTTGAGACGTAGATAAGAGCAAGTTACTCACCCTGCACGCTCAGCACCACCACCAGCACCAGCAGGACGAGGTGCCCCAGCCCGCCGACTTTGAGGAGGACTCCATGCCACCACGGGCACAAGGCAGGAGCTGAAAGACCCCACGCAAATAAAATTGCACATTTTCATGTGAAAAAGCTGGGGGTTTTAGAGGAGGGGGGAGGGGAAAAAAAAAAAAAAAAAAAAAAAAAAAGCCCCTTCTGTCAAGCCAGTGAGTTTGAGCAGAAGTTTCCAGCTGCTTTTCTTCCTCCAAAAATATAAGTCACCACCGAGGAGGTCTAGAGGTTGGATGGAGAAGTGAGGACAACACGGAAGGGTGTTTTGTTTTTTTTTTTTTTCAGGTGGTGGAGGGGCTGCAAGTAGCCTCCGGGGGAGCCTTGGGTGCCCAACAGTGGAGCGTAGCAGTCCTGAAACCGTCTGAGACTAGATGAATTTCTGAATTTTTCGGCTTGATTTAGAACAGGCGAAACCCGCCTGCGGTGGAGCTGGGAGCCGGCGGGACGCGGGTCTCTCCAGCCCTCGTCTCCACCAGGATCCCAGTCACGGTCCCAGCAGCTTTGCTTTCCAACAAGGCGCGTTGGCTCGCGTTGGGCTTCTTGGGACCCTTTTTTTTTTGCCGCCAAAAGAAGCAAAACTGTTCAACCCCCAAAGTTTGCAAGCTTCCCTCTCCCCCATCCGTGGTTCCCCCCCCCCCCCCCCCAAATCCCACCTTACAGGACGCTTCGTCCATCCGACATTCTCCAGGGATCTTGGAAACCTCAACAACATGGGGGTGAAGAAGCAAGCAACCCCAAAAGCTTGAAATAAGCATTTTTTTCCCCCAAAATAGGACTTACCGCGACACTTCTGGGCCGGAGAAAAACCATCTCCAGGACGCCTTAAATCAGCATAAACTATTTCCCCAGCCATGACCAGCTCAGAAAATTGCAAGAGCGTCCCAAGAGTGAAAAGCGTTCTTGGGCAACGTCCTGCCTTATGACCGATGCGCTTGCGCCTGCGTCTAGCCCCAGGAAATGGCATTGGCTGGGCCTTTTATCTGCGTTTTTTTTTTTTTTTTTCCCCTGAAATATATATATCCTATAGCCTTTCCTTGTAAATTAAAGCCAGTGAGGGTGTAGGTGTCCTGGAGACAGGAGGAGGTCGCGTATCTAGAGGCATCAGAAAAACCTACGCGTTCAATGATTGTGCCAAGCAGCCGCGAAAACATGCAGAGTTGCAAAAAAAAAAAATTAAAAAGGCCTTTAAATAAGGTTTTTGAGGGTCAGGCTGAAGCTTATCAGGGTCTGGATCAGCATGGCCAGAGGCAGATAATCAGCTGAGGAGGAGATGGGTGATATTTGGTATTTCCTCCCCAGAATATTGGCTGTGAGTGGTTTGAAATGGCTTTTCCTTCATGTGGCTTTTTCTGCTTTGACACGAGAGTTGGGCCCCGGTTTGTCCCGTGGTGGGGGAGCTGCCCGAGAACACGGGGACTGCCCAGCTCTGGCACCAGATGGGCACAGAGTCTGGTCTGCCTACCCGCTTCGGGCATGCTGCTAATAAAGTTATTTTATTTTATTTTATTATTTTATTTTATTTTTTATTTTATTTTATTTTATTTTATTTTGTTTTATTGTATTTTATTTTATTTTATTTTATTTTATTTTTATTTTATTTTATTTATTTTATTTTAATTTGTTTTATTTTATTTTATTTTATTTTGTTTTATTGTATTTTATTTTATATTATTTTATTTTGTTTTTTAAATTTTTAACTTTTTTTTTTTAATTTTATTTTACTTTATCTTATTTTATCTTACTTTATTTTGGTTTACTTTATTTACTTTTACTTTATTTACTTTTACTTTATTTACTTTTACTTTAACTTTAGTTTATTTCACTTTTTATCCTGCAAGCATAGCCTCCCACCCCCCCAGCGTGGTTTCACAGCATTCAGACCTGCATTTCCTCCAGATCTGGGACATTTTCCCCATTGCACAGAGTAACCAGCATTTCCCAGGCTACAGTGACCTTTTCTTCTTCTTCGTCTTTTTTTTTCTTCTGTTGGTGTTAACCCCATGTGCAGCAGGTTTAGGCCCATCCTGTAACACCCCCAGCAACGTCTTTTTATAGAGGTAGAAACAACAATTTTTTTTTCCCACACACCCAAAAGACTTCAAGAAAAAAAATCAGAAATTTGCCCCAATACCCACCAGCAGCAAGAAATGGGGTAACACAGGAGAACCCCAAAAGTCCCAGCAGGAAAAGCGCTGTCTTTTTAAAATTTTAATTTTAATTATTTTTATTTATATTTTTATTTTTGTTTATATTTTTATTTTTATCTCTTTTTAAAAATTATTATTTCCTTTTTACTTTTTGCTTTTGTTGTTTTTTTTTTCTTTTTCCGCCTGTAAGCTTTTTTAGTTTTATGGAAACTTTTTGTGGTGAGCTGCTTCTATGCTTCGCTCTTCCTGCGCTGTGCAAAGGTAGCAGCTCTGGTGGTGTGCGATCATTGCAAAAAAAAAAAAAAGAAAATAAATTAGGTTTTTTAGGTAAAAATCTGGAGTCAGATAGGTCATTTGTAAGAACACTTTTTTTTTGTAGTGTTTTCCCTATGGATGCATTCACTTGATAATCCCATTTATTGAGGGTGGGAGAAAGGATGGGGGTTTTAATAGAGGTGGGAGGAGAGAGGATCCGGCCTTGGCTTGATGATGTAAGTTTGTGGGAGGTGGTGGCATGGAAAAAAGGGATTTTTATAGTAAAAAAATCATCAAATGGGCTGGAGGGAGCCACCTGCTCATTCCACTACCTCCTCGTCGCATCCCTGAGATCCTTTTTGGGGTGCCCCGACACCCCAGAGCACAGCAGTTTTCCCCTCCTGCACCCCAAAATAAGCATTTTTTGATAGTCTGTTCTCTCCAGCTGAAAAAAAAAAAAAAAAATTCTGGAAATGTAGAAAAAGGAGGTGAAGAGTGTGCGGGGTGGAGCTGGAAGGGAAACCACCACGGTTTTGCTCATGGGCAGCTGCCCTTGGTCAGGCAGCCCCTTCGCCATCTGCCCTGGAGGATCTGTGCGAAAATCCCCGAAAATGAAACAAAACAAACCAAAACAATTCATTTTTTAATATTTTCTGTTTCACACTTCTCTTAGCAGGAGCGGGTCGCGCCTCGGTGTTCTGCTTGGTCCCACCAGCCGGATCCAGGTAAGCGGGTTTGGGATGAGCTGTGGGAGCTGGGCTTAAATTTTAATCGTGAAAATTTTGACTGGGGGGAGAAAAGTTTGATTGCAGGGAGAAAACTTTAAATATGAGGAAAAAACTTTGCGGGGAGAAAATTTTACTTGGGGGAAGAAAATTTTAGGTGGAGCGGGAAATTTCAATTGCAGGGACAAGACTTTAATTGGGAGTAGAAAGGTTTGATTGCAGGGAAAAAAAAACTTTAATTATGGGGAGAAAACTAACTGAGGGGAAAAAAAATTAATTGAGGGGAGAAAATCATTGTCCTCTTAAAAATCACTTTATGAGCTTTATTTTCTTTCCCCGATGTCACTCTTTGTGCTGCCTGTTGATATCTCTAACTGGCATCTGGAAGATTTACAGCCCCCACAGTGCAAAATTAACATTATTGGGGTAGAAATGACGTTTTCTGCAATGAGTTCCCACCTCTGCCTGCGCTCAGATGTACCTTCCTGACCACCCCACTTTGTAAATCCTAAGGGGGGGCTGAGGACCCACAGCCTTTGTGACACCCCTGATAGGTGAAACTTTTCTTGGCAGGTGAGGCGGGAGCATCTGCGGAGGTGGAACCCAAAAATGAAGAAAATGAGGGATTATTCCGGATTTTTGGGTGCGGAAAGGAGCAAGTGGGCAGGTAACTGTAGAGCAATGAACTGACTAATCGCTGGGGTTTTCTTTTTCTTTTTTTTTTTTTTTTTAATACTTCTATAATTTGAGAACAAAAAACAGCTGAGGTAAGGGAGGAGGGGTTGTAGGAAAAAAAAACTTTTTCTAGCACTTCCCCAGGGGGAAATTTTTTGTCAGTCAGCAGTCGGAATTTTTGCTCTAAAAGATCTAATTTCAGATGCTTTGAAATTCTCACATATGATTAATCCTCCCTAAGGCGCTTGAGTCACTGTTTCTTTTGGGCCTTTTTATTTTTTTTACCACCAACGATTGAAAAATTTCTGCTTTATTCCGAAGGAAAATAATTTTTGAACAGCCGAAGTGTTAAAAGACCCCAAGAAATAAGCCTGGGATTCAAGTCCAGTTTAGACACATCAGCAAGATTTTTATTATTCTCTGCCTCCCCTTCAACACTGCCCTATTTTAGTTCTCCTGACACTTCCTCCCATCCCCATCATCCTCTTGGTGCATAAGGCAGAAAAGGGGATTTTGGGTCTTTTCTATCACCTCTCTCTACCCAGCCAGGGACTATGATTTTGAGACTTTTTTTTTTTTTATTATTTGACATATTTTTTGATTTGTTGATTTGTTGATTTTTGAATTGTTTTTCTGTTGTTGATTTTTAAAAATTATTTGTGGATTGTTTTTCAATGATTTTTTTTTTTATTATTATTTGGCATATTTGGTTTCTGACTAATGTTTTTGCGTGGGGACAGGGGGAAGAAGAGGGGAAAGGAGAGTTTGTCCCATGAGACTTAGTTCATGTGACAGATGGGGACGAAGAGGCGGAAGTTTAAAATAAAAATGAGGGAAATCCCACTGGGTGAAAACACTGATATTTTTTGGCAAAACCCTTAAGGAACAGAATTTTCTTTGCTCATGATGGGGGGAAAGAGCATTATTCTGGATCACAAACCCCAGAAGTAAAGTGACCATGACTCAGACATCTGCAAGACCCAAAGTGTCTCAGTTTGGGTGGAGCAAGAAGTTCACTGAACTTTAATAATGAAGTAGAACCCATAAATTAAAATATAATTTGAATTATGGTGCATTTCAGAGCCGGACTTTACAGCTGGAACTGAGGAGGAGACAAGGGTCCCCTGCTAAGGAAGAGTTCCCAAAAGTAAAAAATATATGTCATTTTATTCCATGGGGAGAAGAATTTTTGATGTTTCTCACCCAAAACGACAGCAAGTCCATCTGGTGCGGGCAAAAGACGAACCTCTCATCGTTTGGGCATCAAATGCTGCCTGTCCTTGAGGAAGGCTCTTCCCAAAGATACTTTGGATGAGCATCACCCACATGCTCAGATGTGGGGCCCGGTGTTCTCCACGTTGGCCTGCTATGGGGAGATGGCATTAAAAGCCCCCTTCATCTTTGAGTAAAGGGAGGAAAAAAGCATCTTTTGGGCCAACAGCCCGGACCGGGAGCGTGTTGCTCCCCTTTGCGACCCCCCCCCCCCCCCCCCGCAAAGGCTTTGAAGGCCTCTTCTCCTGCAGATCACGGCCCTGAGCTGAAGCCGGAGGCACGCGTTGCCTGCCAGGTGGCGATGGCGGTGCTGTTCGGAGCTCTGCTCCTCACGGCCGTCACCTTTGCAGGTGAGTAGCGGGGTTTTTCGCCTCGCGGGGGACGTCTCTGAGATACTCCAGGTTGTTGCGCGTGTGCCAGACCCGACTCCACGCTCCCCGGGGAAGACGCAGCCCGACCCGAGGTGCTGTCCCCTCCCGGAGAGGGACATTTCAAGGAGCAGAGAAGCCTTTCTACGGAAGACCAAACCCATCTCCTCTTTGTAGGAGCTGTTATCATCCAGAAACCCTTAACCAGACAACAGAAAGAGTCGTTTCACGGGTACAGTCATCTGAGCTTTCTCAAGGGTGGTTTTTTTCAGAGAAGGAGGGGCCGTTTCTCTGCTGCTTGTCCAAGCAGCAAGAGATGTTGGCATGAGTCACATCAACCTAAGAAGTCTGCAGGAACGAGATAACTTTTTTTTCTGTCCTTTGCCCATCGCTACTTTTGCATTAATGACAGATAGAAATATCTAGAGGCGTGTTTAGGGATATGTCTACTGCGGCAATCCTCTTAAAACTTGCGGTTTTTGAAGGCCACCTGTTTGCTTTGTTGAAGGTACAGCACCCACATTTCTTGCCCAGTGCCACAAGCTGGGCCATGATGTGATCCTGCTTACTCCTTCCAATCCACCCAAGGTTCCTCTTGGTGTCTTAATTCTCCTTTCCTCCCACCGTTGAGCAAGATGCAAGACTTTTGGAGGTCACAGGGTGGAGGATGACCTTCCCCACCCCAGAGAGGCAAGGGGAAGGTGTTGCTCCCTAACGATGTTGCTCTATTGATGACAGTGCAAGCTTTTCAGCCTCGTTCCCAACCCTGCTTTCGGTGTCCCTTCGACTGGATCAGGTACAGAGGAAAATGCTACTATTTTTTGGAAGCTGAGGGGAACTGGACATCAAGCCAGGACAACTGCTCGGCACTTGGCGCTTCCTTGGCCATGCTTGACAGCGTGGAGGACTTGGTAAGGAGACATGAAGACATGCTTGGCATGGGGAGGGAGGGGGGGAAAAGCCACCAACGTATTTGCCACCTTTTGGTTTCTTTGACTGCTCTTCCAGGATCTTCCTTGGAGATCTGCAGTGAGGAGATGGGAAAAATGGTTTTCTGGAGGGTAGGCCATCATGGGTTTCTTCAAATTTCTCACCAAAGCCAACCGATGCAAGGACTGTAGCAAAAAAAGCCCTGTTTCTATGCAATAATAGAGCTCTGCCTTAAACACTGCAGGTTTTGTCAGCAGATTGAAAGGTTCAAGCACCAAAGGAGCCCTAAAGGAACATGAACAACTGATAAAATGTAGCTTATTGGTTGGAAGGAAGTTTCTGCGGATGGTGACCTGCTGGAGATGTCCCAAAGCTCCATGACCTGCCATAAAACCTTCTTCTCTCTGCTTTTTTCCAGAGCTTCGTGATGAGATATAAAGGGAGCTTGGAGCTTTGGATCGGCCTTTCACGGGAAGGTGAAGAGCAACCGTGGAAGTGGGTGAACCACTCACGTTTATCTCACCTGTGAGCCTGCGTTTTTCATCGTTACGTTGTTGGTTGGGGTTTCCTCGGCCCCTAAATGTGTATTTCTTCTGGCACTTGAGGTGCAGCCAGAGGTAGCAATGAGACAATGACGTTTGGGAAAGGCAACGTTGCATCCAGAGCTGGTCTTCATTTTCCCCTTTGACTCGAGACGTGGAAGCGTTTGGTGGGGAAAACACTGTTTGATAGATCGTTTATTTAGAAATAAGGTTTTTTTGCTTGCGAAGCTTCAGGTGTCTTACAGCCAATCCAGACTGCTTCCAAAATAGACATAATTCAGCCCCAATATTGCCATATTGATGCCCATGAAGACGCATGAGGACTGAAGAGCAGGGGGGGGAAAAGCCGACGTGTGATTTTTTCCTCCTTTTTCCTGCTGTCTCCATCTGAAGTGGGTTGTCTCGTTTGTCCTTCCAGGTTTCAGATCCGCAGCGGTGGCCTCTGCGCCTACGTGAACGACAACGGGCTCAGCTCCTCCCGCTGCAGCGCCGAGAGGAGTTGGGTTTGCAATAAGCCTGAGACGCAGAGCCCAAGCAAGGGCAACCGGTCAAGACGGGCTCAAAACCTTTGCATCAGCTCCTAAGGAGCTGCAGGAGGTGCTCCTCAAACCAAAATGCCCAGCGTGCGGTAAGGAAACAAAAGAAAACCTCAAAAAAAACCCCACAGAGAACCCACACTCGGGGGGAAAATGCCTATTGCCCCAAACTGTCAAACAAGAACCAAAGTTATGACATGTCTGCATTTGTCAACCCAACCTTGGTATACAACCGATGAAAACTATCCAGTAATTACTCACAGCGGCCTTGCAATTCACACCTCAGAATGATTATTCATTACCCCACTGCAATTAAATGTCAGAGCAAGAGGAAAGCTGTAGTTCCATACCAAAGACCATGGAAAAATGCCTGGAGGGTGAAGCTTCGCGAGATGTCTGCTACCTTGCACGGTGCGACCAGAAAAATGGGCAAATGCCATAGGATTTTTGCTTTTCCCACTCTTTGGGGAGTTAAAGCAGCAACTTTCAGGCTTTGTCGGCTGAGAAAAGCCTCTTGGCACTTTACGAGGGTGTGGAAATGCTGCAAGGATGGACAACACTTGCAAGACCTCCGAGAATCTGCTGCTCTTGTCTTTGGGAAAGCACAAGCTGCGGCTGAGTCAACCTGTGATCATACGTGGCTCTGTATCAAGAACAAGATGAAGGTGAAGAGACTTCCACATATCAAAAAAATCAGATTATTCTCCCCAAGGACACAGCTCTGGAGGTGGGACAGCGGTGGGATTGGGGAGGATCTGCCAAGTCAAGATTGGAGTGGCCAGCTCCAACCGGTTCAGAGAGAAGGCGATGTCTTCACTGTAACGTGCCGGTGAGGTTAGGGATAAAAGCCAGCAAGGTTTTTAAAGAAGGAGTAAAGCAAAAGATTTTGTACATTTTCGTGGAACACCGTGTCCAGGGAAGGCTTTCGAGCATCTCGTCTTGAGGAAAGCTGACACGTTTGCATGAACAACCATGTCCAGGGAAGACTTTTTTTGATGAGCGTCTTGACTCGGGGACTGTTGGCGAAGGTGTAAATAGGAGGGTAATAGGATTTTAGCAGCACTTTAATTTTTAGTGGTATTTAGCACAAGGAGCTAAAGGATCCAGCTTTTTTTCCAGGACTGATGAAATCCTTTGTTTCATCCTCTTTCAGCAATTTGGGGACCGTTGTCTTCTCAGATGCTCTCCCAGCGATGTTTCACCAAAGTGAGGGGTTTTTTGGGGGCAGGATTATCGATGTCCTTGGCTCTTGCTCCCAGGAGATGGAGCTGCCAACTCCACGAGCCAAGGACATCGATGGATGGAGTTGGCAGCTCCATCTCCTGGGAGCAACGGAGTTTATCCCGGCATAGCCCAGACCCCAGGGAAACCTCTCCTGCTCCCCCGCCGTGTCCATCCTCACCCTTCCAAAGGACCATCTTCAGACCAGCTGCTGTTTCGGCATCGCGTAACGCTCGAGAATCAACCAAATTCAATATTTCTGAGGGCTTTTGATGCACCCTTGAGCTGCTTGCAAGATTTTTCACAAGACGGGCTGGCCTGGGGTAGTGTCAGAGAAACAACGAGCAAACTATTTAGAAATAACTTCATAAATACTGCTGGAAAACTGAGCCAAATTTAACCTGGGGTATCTATCACCTTCTTCTTCATCTTGTTCTTCTTCTTTGTATTAATATTCATACTAGTTCCTCCAATCCCAACCGCTTCTTGCAGCTGAAATGAGGGGAGTCGCAGCCAGAGACCTCACACCTCTGTGATCAGAGACGCGCATGCGCTCGTGCTTAAATTCAGGCTTTTTCTGGTGCTTTTCAGGCCCAGTTTGCCTGCAAAAGTGTTGCAAAGTGGGACGCTAATTTATTATAGCGTGCTTTTATATCGTGACTCCACTTGCTTGCATCTCCATGGCGTTGTACGTGCACTGTCCCACTCTTTCTTTATTTAAGGTGAAACACTAAAAAATAAGAAAAAAAAGGCCTAGAATTATATTTAATATATTGATATATATGTCCTAATATTATATAGAAAAAGACCTAGAATTAAGTCTCTGCTGTTAATGAGGAAATATTGAGTTTTTATTGGCCTCATTGAGGAAAAGATCAAGTTAAAAACTGCTTTTTTGGGTCTTTCCACGTACCTTGAACTCTCAGGATTCACCCCTGCAGGCTCTGTCAGATGGAGGTGGAATAAAAACACCACATGAGGGATTTGCCCATAAATTTCCAAATATTGATGGACGAATAGGCAAAACTTTGCTTTTTTTTTTTTTTTTTAATGCGTTTTGTGATTTCTCTTCATCTCGGTTTCATTGCCCCGGGCGCTGCTGAATGAGTTTTAACGGTGATTTTTAGTGGCTGACACCTTTGAGAGGTTTTCTGCACAACACGTTATTCCCTTTGTCACAGACTAATTACTTGTGACAACGACACGCAATAAACATTTATCGCTGGTTAACAAATCTCTTCTTAATCACCTGCTTGCGTGGAAGCACAGTGAAAAATGCTAAACTAAAGAACTAAAAAACTGAAAAACTCAAAAAATCCCCCCAAAATACAAATTAAATCTTTAATATTTAATAGGTAATTCAATTTATTTTTTAAAAGGAAGTGAATGCACATCCACAACCAGCTTGGTCCATGGTACCCCCCTGTGGCTATTTCTGTTACTGCTTTAAATTATATTCTGACTTTTTTGTTTGAGGTGGTCTTTTTTTTTCAGTAGGCTGGGTTTTTTTTGGTGGGGAGGGTGGGTTTGTGGTTTTTTGGAGTTGTTTTTTTTTTTTCTTTGCCTTTTTTTTTTTTTTTTTTTTAAAAATGATGTCTTCTGCACATCCAAGGGGCTGGATCCGAACAGGACCGGGCATCGCTGCTCCTTCACCCAGAGCCGGACCCGCTCACGCAATGCCAGCATGAGGAGCATCATTCACCCTGGAACTAACAATAAAGAGAAAAACTTCTTCAATTTAACCCCAACCCCTGGAAAAGTATATGGTCGAGGGGATTAAAAACCAAGACAAAACCTCAGAAATGGGAGAAAATTTAAATAACGACCAATATTCTCATTAGTTGACCCAAAGTGTGGCCCCAGTTGGGATTTTTTTGCAAATCCTCCTTATTTTTTGCACCCTCCTCACCCCGTCATCCCCCTGGCCCCTTCCTGGGTCCAGCAGCTGAGCCAGGAACACTTGACTCAAATAAATCCCTTTTCCCCTCCAAAAAAATTCTGATTTTTTGCTGCCACCCATTTCCTCGCCCACAGCCGGGCTGGGATGGATCCCACATCGTCGTTTGGGCCTTGCAATGAGGAAAAGTGACCAAAATTGGGCTGGAAAAGCCAATTTGGGGATTTTATACTTTTTTTTTTAAGCACTTGCCAGGCAGGTTTGGCCACGCGACTTCCGCATCACTGTTTTGGGAGGTGGGTGGGGAAAATGGGGTGTGGAGGGGAAATGGGGGTTTCGGGGTAGTTTTTAAATTTTTTTTTTTTTCCTCCTTCTTCTTGAATTTTGGAGGGTTTGGGTTATGGTGGGGCGGATTTTCAGGATTCGGCCCCAAAATAAGAGCTGGGAGGAGGGGAACACCCCCCGGGGAAGGGCCAGGAGTGACGGGGAAGATGGGGGACAGTTCCAGTCCCCCCCAAATTACCCCCATGGGGCTGGAAATCACCATTCCCGTGAGGTAGCAAGCCTGGATTTGGGCTCATTTTGCCAGATTGGCGGGGGTTAAAATTATTTTTTCTTACTTATACAGATTTTCCTGCGTCTCTTTTTTTTTTGGCGGGGGGTGGGGGGAAGTGGTTGAGAAAGGGGTGTCTGGAGGAAGACGAAGGGCTGAGGAAGAGCGATGGAACTCTGGCAAAGATGTGCAGGCAGGAGACAGGCAGGTGAGAAGAGGGGGTGCAGGGGGGGCAAAATAGGTGTGGGGGGACGTCTCGGCTTTGCACCGGGTGTTGGGGTGCGGGGAAGGGTGCGGGATGTTGGGGTGCTGGATATTGAGGTGCACTGAGGGGTGTAAGATGGGTGTTGGGGCTCCACGTTGGGGGTGATGGGAGGAGTGTAGGATATTGGGGTGCAAGAAGGGGTGTAGGATATTGGGGGGGGGGGTTCAGCATTGGGGAGCTGGAAGGGAGGGAGGGTATTGGGGTGCGGAGAGGAGTCCAGGGTACCGGGGCTCTGTATTGGGGTGCACAATAGTGGGGTGCACTAAGGGGGTGCAGGATAGTGGGGCTCTGCATTGGTCGCAGGATATGGGGGTGCTGCATTGGGGTGGACCAAGGGATGTAGGATATTGGGGTGCCCCAAGGGGTGCAGGAGATTGGGGTGCCCCAAGGGGTGCTGGATACCGGGGTGGATGATAGTGAGGTGCACCGAGGGGGTGCAAGATATTGGGGTGCAGAGGAGGGCGCGGGACACCAGCGCTTGGCACAGGGTTGCGGGGTGCAGGATAGCAGGGCTCTGCATCGGGGTGCAAAATAGTGGGGTGCACCAAGGGGTGCAGGTTACCAGGGTGCCGAGAGGGGTGCAGGATATCGGGGCTCTGCACTGGGGGTGCCCCAAGGGGTGCAGCAGATTGGGGTGCAGAGAGGGGTGCATGATATCAGGGCTCCTCCTCGTGCGTTGTTGAGGGGGGTATCCCCCTCATCATCCCCCCTCCCCTTCCCAATTTTGGGGGGGTTCTCCCAGCAGCCCCCCCCCCTCCCCAGCAGGCTGCCCTGCCCGCTGCTCAGCTGCCTCTACGGGCTTGTTGTGGTTTGGGCCTGGTTGGCAGCCAACCACAAGGCAGCAGCTCTCTCTCCCTTCCCCTCCGGCAATGAGAAGGGACAGAGAGCAAGGCTTGGGGGTCGAGATAGGACTGGGATGGGGAAAAATCCCCCTTTATGGGAACGAGCAAAAGGCAGACTCGTTAGGGGAAGAAAAAAAGAACATACATTTATTACAGACACTAACAACACCTAACAGAGTAGGACAGTGAGAAGCATTGCCACATCTTGAGAACACCTTCCCCCCACCCCTCCCTTCTTCCCGGGCTCAGCTCTGCTCCCGATATCTCTACCTCCTCCCCCAGGGGCGCAGGGGCAGGGAATGGGGGGTGCAGGCAGCGCTGCCACTTCCTTCATCTTCGGTGAGGGGAGTGTCCGGAACTTGTTCCTCCTGCTCCATCGTGGTCCCCCTCTCACAGCAGACAGTCCTCCACAAACTTTCTCTGACTTGAATTCCTCCCATGGGCCGCAGTGTTCCCCACACTGCTCCGTCATGGGTCACTATCTTCCTCTGACTGGATTCTCTCCCACGGCTGCAGCCCTTCCCGAGCTGCTCCGGCGTGGGACTCCCCCACATGCTGCAATCCTCCCAGCACTGAATTACAGCAGCGGGGCTGCCTTTTCCCATGAGACCCCGGCCTTCTTCAGACACAGCACCTTGATTATTCTGAGCAGGAGCCACAGGCCGTAAATCAATGTCTGCTCCACCGTAGCTCTCCATGGGTGGCAGGGGGGGGCCGCCCTGCCATCTCCCCACAGGATGCAGGGGGGTCTCTGCTCCGGCACACCTCCCCCCTCCTTTCTTCCTCCATTCCTCCACTGACCTTGGTGTTCATGCAGCTGCCCCAACTCCTCCTCACCAGTCCCACTGCTCCTCACCACGTCCCTTCTTAAATACGTTATCGCAGAGGCGCAGCTGATGGGCTCAATTTCCCAAACAGAAGTGGAGCTGACGTGGAGCTGGGGGAGCTTCGAGGAGCTTCTCCCAGGGGGCCACCCTGATAGCCCCCTCCCCTGCCACCAAAAAACTCCACCACTCACTCACCCCAGGACAGGGGTGATGGGGTGGATGCTGGCCTTCACCTTCCTCCTCCTCTTCAGCACCCTCCAGAGGGGTGACGCCTGCCGGGGGGTCCCCCAGCCCCCCCACCCCCTGCCCCACGGCTGGGTGGGCTTTGCCCGACGCTGCTGCTCCACCTCCGAGGCCGAAGGCAACTGGTCGGCGAGGCGGGAGCGCTGCTGGTCCTTGGGGGCCACCTTGGCCACCAGCGACCCCACGGCGGAGCTGGTGAGGGAATACTGGGGCGATGGGGGGTGGGGCAGAGGGGGTGGGGGGTCCTGGGGTGATTTTTGGGCTGAAAAAAAAAAAAAAAAAAAAAAAACAAAAACCCAACAAAACAAAACAAGCAACCAACCTTTTTATTTTCCCTTCCCGTAGGATTTTCTGCACCGTTACAAGGGGCTCGTGGCGCGTCGGCTCGGCGTCCACCGCGCCGGCCCCGTCTGGGTGCAGCCCGACGGCGCTGAGCGCGACGCCTCCAGGTGAGACCGGGGAGGGGGAAATTGGGGGGACGGAAGGTGGATAAACACCCCCCACCCCCCTCTAATCCCACGTTTCACCCCTCTCCACCCCACGCAGGTCGCCCATCCGTGGGGCCGGCACCTGCGCGGATTTGAACGAGGAGAAAAGGGGCTGAGCAGCTGCCGCCCGGCGCCTTTTTGCTCAAAGCTTAAAATAAAGCGTCGGAAATAGGGTTGCCAATGGAAAATGAATCATGGTTTGGTGCTGGGGGGGGAGGGAAAAAAAAAAAAAAATAGGATTTCTTTTATTTTTTGTCTTCCAAATTAGCCTGCCGAGGCTGCTGCCTCCAAGGGTGATGTCGCATTTTGGGGTTGGGTTTCGGTGGAGGTTTTGAATCCTGTGTGATGGCAGCCAGGGGGGGAGGCGGGATGTGGGGCAGGACTGGAGAAATATTTTAGTTGCTTGGATTTAATGTAAATCCGAGGCGCTGGGTTTGGGATCCCACGTGGGAAAGCCCCAGGCAGGGTGTGGGAGGGTTCTTGGGGGTCCCAGGGGTTCAAGGAGGCGTTGGGGGGCCTGGGCAGCTGTTGGGGTCCCATATGGGGCAGTTTTGGGGAGTTCTTGGGGGTCCCAGGGGCTCAAGGAGGTGTGGGGGGGCCAGGACAGCTGTTGGGGTCCCCCATGGGGCAGTTCTGGGGTGTCTTGGGGGTCATGGGCAGCCAGGGGGGGAGGGGTGGTCAAATGTAGATGCCTTCTCCTTCTTATAACAAAAAATAAAAAGTATGTGGTATATTCTGAGCACATTTATAATTAATCGCACATTAATTACACAGAAATATATCCTAGGCGGGGGGAAAAGCAGAAGAAAACGGGGTGGGGGGGTAAGCAAGCACGAGCACATCCTCACAGTGAGAAAATAAACCGAGGTAGCAGCTGGTATTGACAAAAAACCTGGCAAAATTAAGATTTTTAATTTGGGTTGGAAGCCCAGACAATGGTGGGCACTGAGGTCAGTAAAAGACATCTTCAGAAGGGGCTGAGTTTGAGAGGAAAACCCAGGTTTTCACCTCAAAACCACCTCGGTGAAGCCCCGCTCCCGTTAACGAGCTTTTGATGAATTTAACAACAGTGGGATGAGCTGCGCCGAGCTCAGACCCAAAACCCCCTGGATACAACCCAAACTGGAGCCATCGAAGACGGAGGCAGGACCATGAGCTGAGGTGGAAATGACTCCAAGACCTGGAAAATAAGAGTTGAGGGGCATCAAGGAGCATTTCCAACCACTGTGGAGCAACCAGTTTTGGGGGGACCCCTCTGGCGCATCACCCCTTGGGGGACAGTTTGATGGTGGAGAGAAGGACGCAGAAGTAGGGGAAGACCTTTTCTCCACGGAAGGAGCCCACGGGGAAGGTGAAGATGCGTTGGCGGCTGCCGACAGCGTAAAAGGAGACTTGTCCCACCTCGTAGTCCAGGTAGACCCCGATCTCCCCGTTGAGGAGCGGGACGGAGGTGTTGGAAGGAGCCGTGAGGGCCACGCAGAGCTCATCGTATTTCTGCAAGCCCCAAATCTCGGTGTTGGGCTTGAAGAGGACCCGGCCTTTCCTCCGAATCGACTCGCGGGCCACCCCAACGGCCCAGAAGCGCCCAGTCGCCTCCACCTCCCAGTAGTGACGGCCTGAGGTGAAGCCCTGGCTGCCCAACATGCACGGATCCGTGTCAAACTGCCTCGGCCCTTCAGGCCACCGGCATCCAGGTCTACCCCAGGTGGCCTCTTTGAGATCCTCAGAGAGGATCACCTCGGGACCCGCCGTGGCTGGATCCAGGGTCACGTCCACTGGAGAGGAAAACAGAGAAGCCAAACTGAAGCGTAGGGGACGCACACCCCAAAAATCCCCTTCACCGGTTCCTTTTCAAGAAGAAAGGGAGAGGAGTGGTGAGGTTGGAGATGGAGGAGACGAAAGAGGGAGGTTGGAGATGGAGGAGACGAAAGAGGGAGGTTGGAGATGGAGGAGACGAAAGAGGGAGGTTGGAGATGGAGGAGACGAAAGAAGGAGGTTGGAGATGGAGGAGACGAAAGAGGGAGGTTGGAGATGGAGGAGACGAAAGAGGGAGGTTGGAGATGGAGGAGACGAAAGAGAGAGGTTGGAGATGGAGGAGATGAAAGAGGGAGGTTGGAGATGGAGCAGAAGAAAGAGGGAGGTTGGAGATGGAGGAGATGAAAGAGAGGTTGGAGATGGAGACGAAAGAGAGAGGTTGGAGATGGAGGAGATGAAAGAGGGAGGTTGGAGATGGAGCAGAAGAAAGAGGGAGGTTGGAGATGGAGGAGATGAAAGAGAGGTTGGAGATGGAGGAGCCAGAGAGAGAGAGGTTGGAGATGGAGGAGACGAAAGAGGGAGGTTGGAGACGGAGGAGCCAGAGAGAGAGAAGGTGGAGCTGGAGGATCTCCAACTCCAACCGACACCTCACTTGATGCAGCCCCGAAGACCTCAGGAATTGGTACTTTGCTCCTCCCCAGCCGCCTTTCGTTACCTTCAAACTGTTTTGCTGCGGAATAGTCCAGGACGAGATCCCACGTGCGCGGCCGCGGTTTGAGGAAGAAAGCCATCGCGCCCGCGACGTCCTCCCCTCCCTGCTAGAGGTGCAGAAAGGGGGGAAAAAAGAACAAAATAAAATTATTATCCGACAAATGGGCACATCCCGGCTTTTCCCCCCATTTTATGTCAGAAAATGGGTTCAACAGCTGCATCTAATTGAAATACTGGAAAAGAAAATGCCATTTTTCCTCCAGCACTTGCGAAGTAGCTTGGTTAACTTATGGGAAGAGCCATGGAGATGGATTAGATTTATTGATTTCCCTATGACTATGAAGGGAACATGAAGAGTACGTTGGGATGGACCCACCTACCTCATAGATATGATTATACCCCAAAATCCCCATTCCTTGTGCTGGCTCAGGGATGAATCCATCTTAAATCCATCTTTGCCTCCACCACGCATTTTCTTGGGCAATCAAATCCAATAAGGTTTATTTGAGTAATAAAAAAATCCTTCTAATTAAGATAAGCAGAGTCCAACTTCCCCACGTCCAGAGAAATCTTGCGAGAGGTGGAGAAGTTTGCGGTTGGCCCCAGGAAAAATGTGCACGGGGGAGATAAGAGCTGGCGTCAGAGGGCCTCAAATCCAGCCTCTGAAACCCAGCGTGGGGTTTTGAGTGCAAACAAGCAGTTGCCCGCAGTAAGGAGCACTGAAAATTTGTAATAAAGCCCCAAAATTGTTGAAGAAACCACGCTGCAATACTCAGAAATCAACAGGTTGCTGCTTTCCCGCGTGCTTTCCCCGACAAAACCGCAGAGAGGGGAATGAAAGCAGCAGGCGGATGGATAAAAGTGGGGAAAAGGTGGGGAAAGCAGCTTTAAATTAAGACATAAACGGGAGCCGTGCTGCTTCTCACCCAAATTTCCCCACCTGGATCGTTATGGGGAGACAAGAAGCAAATAACCACGACCAACCACCTCGAACCACCTTTAAATCCGAAACAAAGATCCTGAGGGCAAAGCAAGGATAAATCCGCTTTCCTTCCCTTGTTGATGGGATGGGGAGAGTGCTCAAAATCCCCTTTTTCCCCCAAAAAAGAGACAGTAGGGTGGTGTAACCCACCTGGCAACGCTGGGATTTCCCCCCCTCTCGAACCTTTCGGGGTTGTCCTTGGTGCCGTTTTGGGGTTCCTCTGGTTGCTTTGCCTCCACCAGCTGTTCTTTCCGCTTGGTTTTTTCCCCCTCTTTTGGAGTTTTTCCTCTCTCTTGGAGTTTTTTTCCCCCCTCTCTGGCACAGGCTCAGTCAAAGCTCGGTCCCGTCTCTGCCTCCGCCAGCTTTTATCGGCTGGGGAGGGAGGAGACCTTCAATCTCCCACCCGCAGACGGGGCCGCGACGCTCTCGGACGCCTCCTGCACCCTCAGATTGCACCTTTTTTTTTTTTTTTTTTTTTTCCCCCTCCATTTCAGGGCCATTTTCTGTCTCAATGTAGACGCTGAGGTAGGAGAGGAAGCAAAAAAAAAAAAAAATACAAAGGTGGTGTCAAAAACCTGCATTATCGCACCGCGCCCCAAGGAAGAAATTGGTTAAATTGGTTAAATTGTTGCCCCCCCCCCCCTGCCCCCCAAACCTCCAAATAGGACGGGAGCAGCTTCTAGGCCAGGGCTGAGTCAACAAAATGTAGAAATGAGACCCCCTGAGGGAGAGAAACCGCGTTTAAAGGCAACTGTGGGCGAGGCAATTTGCTTCACCCACCCGGGGAAGGTGGTGCGGAGCGCGGGAACACCCAGGGGAGGTGCGAGGGAAAGCGGCTTCGCCCGGCGCCGCTGTCACCCCGTTCTGGCACCGATTTCTCCTCGCCGGGAGGGAAGCTCGGCCACGGCAGCGGCGCGAACCCTCCGCGGCGCGACAGGCCACGCCGTCGCCTCCCGGTGCTGAAGGGACAAAAACCCTTCGGGGTGGAACGGGTGGCAGCAATGGGCGAGGTGCGAGATCGTCTTCCCACGGGCCCGCCAGGCCTCTTCCCCCCCCTCCACCAAAGAACAAGGCGGAGCGAAAATGTTTTAATTTCTCTGGAGGGGGGGGGGAAAGGGAAAAGGGGGCGGTTTGTGGGAGAAACTGAAAGCCAGCGGATTCCTGCTTTTAAAGGGAAGGCAGCCAGGTGGATTTTGGGGGGATTATTTGCTTTCCTCCCCCAAATAATTTAAGATTTTAAGGGCAGGATTAGACAAACGAGCCAGGCTGATCGCTCCAATTTTTATTTTATTTTTTGGTGTATTCAGGAGAAAATCCAGCCTCACCTGCAATCCCTACGGAAGGTGTTAGCAGAGTTTCTGGACTGGAGAGCGAGCGAAGAGAAGCAACGCCTGGACTACCTGGTAAGGAGCCTCTCGGCGTTTCGCAGCCCAAAAGGGTCCATGGGAATTTATTTTTTTTTTTTTTTTTTTCCCTTCATCCCTTCAGCAGAAACACGCGGGATCGTCTCTGCGCCACGTCCCGGCGCCTCGCGAAGCCCCAAACCCGGCGGGAGCTGCCGGGGCGGATCCCGGGCAGGTTTGACGGGCGCCGCCTCCGCGTTCAGCTGCTCATTATCCTGGTTTTAAATCGCTTCATTTCCGTGGCGCCGCTCGTTTCCATCCCCGATCAAGTCCTAAAGGGCCGTTTGTTAACGAGGAATGAATCCTCCCCCTCGCTTCCCAGGGCCCTGGTTGATTTTGGATCGACCCATAAGGAGGGAATGGCAACAGGGAAGGGGAAACGAGAAGGAAAAGCATGGGGTGAACTGCTTAATTACCCTCCGGTTGTTAATTAACCACATCCCCAGCGCTACAACCCTCCGGCTCCAACCAAAGCGGTTTGTCCTGTAGCTTGAAAGGAAAAAAAAAAAAAAAAAAAATCCAGGTCTGGGGGGTCGCTCGTGGTCTCAGAGGGGTTTTGGTTTGGTTTTTTTTTTTTTTCCCCCTCCTCCAGGAGAGGAGCGGAGCCGAGCGGCGCCGCATCGGGGCCGAGTTCGAGCGGCTGCGCCGGTTCCTGGCGGAGAAGGAGCGGGAGGTGCTGGGGCGGCTGGCGGAGCTCGATGCCGCCTTCGAAGCTGCCCACGAGGACAAATCCGAGCGGGTGGCCGAGGGAATCGCCCGGCTCCACGGGCTCATCGGGCAGCTGGAAGCCAAACGCTCGCCGCAGGTGAGGCTCTGGGTGAGAAATCTCCCCCTCAAGGTGCTGCCGGTGGGGTCCTGAACCCCCTTTTTTCTCCTTTTTCAGGGTAGCGGGAGCATCCTAAGCAGGTACGTGGCGCTTGGTTGTTCCTCCCCTTTTGTCACCCCGAGCGTGGAAAGGGGTGAAATATCCCTCACCCCCGAGAGCCCTTTCTGCGGTTTCTCTTCTCAGCTGGAGCGAAATGAGGCTTCACCTCCCCTCCGGGCTCCCGGCCGAGCTGGAAAAAAGCCTGAGCTCCTGCCGCCGCCAGCGGGCTGCTCTGCGGGAGGCCCTGGAGGAATCCAGGGAGAATTCAGGTGTTTTGGGGGACGGGGAATTCAGTTCTTTTCAGAGAGTTCTGAGACATTTGGGGAGAATTCAGCAGCGTTCAGGGAGGGATTTGGGTGTTTTGGGGAGAATTCAGCGGCATTTGGGGAGGGATTTTTGGGAGAATTCAGCAGCTTTCAGAGAGGGATTTTGGTGTTTTGGGAGTTCAGTGTCACTTAGGAAGGAATTTGGGTGTTTTGGGGAGGATTTGGTAGCATTTGGGGGAGAAACCAGGGGCATCTGGAGAGGGATTTGGTTATTTTCAGAGAATCTAGAGATATTTAGGAAAGATTTGGGGATGAATTTGGAGGTGCCTGGGGAGAATTCAGGTATTTTCAGAGATTTCAGAGGCATTTGGGCTAAAATGTTGGTGTTTCAGGAGTTCAGCTCCATTTGGGGAGAATTGAAAGGCATTTAGAGAGGAATTTGGGTATTTTGCGGAGAAATTTTGTTATTTTGGGGAGAATTCAGCAGCATTTGGGGAGAATTCAGGGGCATCTGGGGAGGGATTGCTATTTTCAGAGAATCTGATTCGGCTATTTTGAGAGTAATTCAGAGCCGCCTGGAGAGAATTCAGTTATTTTCAGGGTATTCAGAGACATCTGGGGAGAACTCCGAGACACTTGGGGAGAATTGAGAAGCATTTCGGGAGGGGAAGGCAGTTGTTGGAGAGCCGGCGCAGCACCACACTCACCTCCCCCCTCCTTCCAGACACAGGGAGCCCCGAAGCGAAGCCGAGCCCGGGGAAATCTCCCAGCGCAGAGGAGCGGGGTGAGCCGCCGGCTTTTATCCCTTTCTTCGGGCCCCTAAAACCGCCGCGCGTTTCTAAGCCGCCCGCGTTTCCCCCGCAGCGAAGGCGGCTCCTGTCCCGCAGCTCTTGGCGGACAGAAAAAGCGTCCGGTGGGATGAGGAGCAGCGGGCGCAGCGCGGGGAGCCCCGGAGCAGCCAGGAGCCGGCGGCTTGGGGGGAACCCCGGGGAGCCGCAGGACGCGGGAACGGGGCTGGGTGAGCTGCTGCTGCTGCTGCTTCCCCCCTCCCCGCCCGCCCCGGGTACCCACGCGTGTTCCCCCGGCCACGGGCGGGGTTAGAGCCAAGCCGCTCCCCCAGCTCCGATCCCGCAGAAGCGAGTGACACCCACCCCCCCACACACCCCCCCCGCCAGATTCACCCTCCAGCAGCCGTTCCGCTTCCTCAAAAATCTTACGGTGCTCAAGAGCTGCCACTCGCTGTGATAAAGAATAAAACCGAACTTCCAGGGAACGGAATAAACGGTATAAACGGAATTTATTCGGAAGGGGTGGGGGAGCGCGCGGTCCGCTGTGGAGGGGCGGACCTGGTTGAAAACTGCGCCGCCGGACCTGATTGGGAACCCCTCCCCCGCCTCCGCCAGCCGCCGGTTCCGCCCCAGGAGGCGCTGCAGCCGCCGCCGCCGCCTCGCCCGGCCCTGGGCGCAGCCCGCCAGGACCCCGGGGCAGCGGCCCCCGCTCGGCGCAGCGCTTTTAGTGCCGCCAGGCCCTGTGCCCCCGGTGCAGCTCTTTCCGTCCCATCTCGCCCTCCCCTCGCTGCAGCTCTTCCAAGACACGGGCGCAGCGGCCACCCCTCGGCGCAGCTCTTCTACTGCCGCTTCCCTTCGCTGCAGCCCCGGCCGCCTCCACCTCGCGCTTCTCTTCCCTCGCTGCTGCTCTTCCTCGGATCAGCTCTTGACACACAAGACGGTGGCGAGCCCTCGGTACGGCTCTTCAAGCGCAGCTCCGCCCTTCCCATGCAGCCCTTTTATTCACCCCTCGGCACAGCTTTTAGTGCAGCTTCGTCCTGTTCCCCCGTTGCAGCTCTTTCAGTCACACCTCATCCTCCCCTCCCTGCAGCTCTTCCAGTGACCCGGGGCAGCAGCCACCCCTCGCTGCAGCTCTTTTAGTGCCACTTCGCCATTGCCCCCCCATGCAGCTCTTTCCGTCCCATCTCACCCTCCCCTCGCTGCAGCTCTTCCAATAACCCGGAGCAGTGGCCACCCCCCAGCGCAGGTCTTGTAATCCCGTTTCCCCGTCCCCCCTCGCCCTGCCCACCAGTTCAGCACTTTTATTCACACTTGGGCACAGCGGCCACCCCTCAGTGCAGATCTTTTAGCGCCGCTTCGCCATTCCACCCGTTACAGCTTTCAGTCGCACCTCGCCCTCCCCTCCCTGCAGCTCTTCCAGTGACCCGGGGCAGCGGCCACCCCTCGGCACAGCTCTTTTAGTGCCGCTTCCCCATTCCCCCACATTGCAGGTCTCCCCGTCACCCCTCAGTGCAGCTGTTTTAGTGCCGCTTCGCTCTTCTACAGCCCTTTTATTCACCCCTCAGCGCCGCTCTTCCAGTGCCGCTTCGCCATTTCCCCCCATTGCAGCTCTTTTAGTCACACCTCGCCCTTCCCAACTGAGCACCCCTTTTATTCACACCTCAGCTCAGCTCTTTTAGTGCCCTTTCCCCGTCCCCCAACCGTTGCAGCTCTTTTAGTCACACCTCTCCCTCCCCACCTGTTCAGCACTTTTATTCACACTTGGGCACAGCGGCCACCCCTTAGTACAGCTCTTTCAGCGCCGTTTCGCCATTCCACCCGTTGCAGCTCTTTTAGTCCCATCTCACCCTCCCCTCCCTGCAGCTCTTCCAGTGACCCGGGGCAGCGGCCGGCCCTCGGTGCAGCTCTTTTAGTGCCGCTTCCCCATTCCCCCACGTTGCAGGTCTCCCCGTCGCCCCTCAGTGCGGCTCTTCTAGTGCCGCTTTGCTCTTCTACTGCCCATTTGTTCAGTCCTCAGCGCCGCTCTTCCAGTGCCGCTTCGCCCTGTCCCCCCGTTGCAGCTCTTTTAGTCACACCTCGCCCTCCCCTCCTCCCTGCAGCTCTTCCAGGGACCCAGGGCAGCGGCCGGCCCTCGGTGCAGCTCTTTTAGCGCCGCTTCCCTTCGCTGCAGCCCCGGCCGCCTCCACCTCGCGCTTCTCTTCCCTCGCTGCTGCTCTTCCTCGGATCAGCTCTTGACACACAAGACGGTGGCGAGCCCTCGGTACGGCTCTTGCAGCGCAGCTCCGCCCTTCCCGTGCAGCCCTTTTATTCACCCCTCAGCGCAGCTTTTAGTGCAGCTTCGTCCTGTTCCCCCGTTGCAGCTCTTTTAGTCACACCTCACCCTTCCCACCTGGGCACAGCAGCCACCCCTCGCTGCAGCTCTTCCAGTGCCGCTTCGCCATTTCCCCCCATTGCAGCTCTTTTAGTCACACCTCGCCCTTCCCAACTGAGCACTCCTTTTATTCACACCTTGGCACATCTCTTAGTGCCATTTCCCCGTCCCCCAACCGTTGCAGCTCTTTTAGTCACACCTCTCCCTCCCCACCTATTCAGCACTTTTATTCACAATTCGGCGCAGTGGCCACCCCTCGCTGCAGCTCTTTTAGCACCGTTTTGCCATTTCCCCTGTTGCAGCTCTTTTAGTCACACCTCACCCTCCCCTCCCTGCAGCTCTTCCAATAACCCAGGGCAGCGGCCGGCCCGCGGCGCAGCTCTTAGTGCTGCTTCCCTGTCCCCCAACCGTTGCAGCTCTTTTATTCACACCTCGCCCTTCCCACCGTGCAGCCCTTTTATTCACCCCTCGGCGAAGCGGCCGGCCCTCGGTGCAGCTCTTTTAGCGCCGCTTCCCTTCGCTGCAGCCCCAGCCGCCTCCACCTCGCGCTTCTCTTCCCTCGCTGCTGCTCTTCCTCGGATCAGCTCTTGACACACAAGACGGTGGCGAGCCCTCGGTACGGCTCTTGCAGCGCAGCTCCGCCCTTCCCGTGCAGCCCTTTTATTCACCCCTCAGCGCAGCTTTTAGTGCAGCTTCGTCCTGTTCCCCCGTTGCAGCTCTTTTAGTCACACGTCGCCCTTCCCACCTGTTCAGCACTTTTATTCACACTTGGGCACAGCAGCCACCCCTCGGCACAGCTCTTCCAGTGCCGCTTCGCCCTGTCCCCCCGTTGCAGCTCTTTTAGTCTCACCTCACCCTCCCCTCCCTGCAGCTCTTCCAGGGACCCAGGGCAGCGGCCGGCCCTCGGTGCAGCTCTTTTAGCGCCACTTCCCTTCGCTGCAGCCCCGGCCGCCTCCACCTCGCGCTTCTCTTCCCTCGCTGCTGCTCTTCCTCGGATCAGCTCTTGACACACAAGACGGTGGCGAGCCCTCGGTACGGCTCTTGCAGCGCAGCTCCGCCCTTCCCGTGCAGCCCTTTTATTCACCCCTCAGCGCAGCTTTTAGTGCCGCTTCGCCCTGTCCCACCATTGCAGCTCTTTTAGTCACACCTCGCCCTTCCCACCTCTTCAGCACTTTTATTCACACTTGGATGCAGCGGCCGGCCCTCGGTGCAGCTCTTTTAGTGCCGCTTCCCCATTCCCCCACGTTGCAGGTCTCCCCGTCGCCCCTCAGCGCGGCTCTTTTAGTGCCGCTTCGCTCTTCTACAGCCCATTTGTTCACCCCTCGGCACAGCTCTTCCAGTGCCGCTTCGCCATTTCCCCCCATTGCAGCTCTTTTAGTCACACCTCGCCCTTCCCAACTGAGCACCCCTTTTATTCACACCTCGGCACATCTCTTAGTGCCATTTCCCCGTCCCCCAACCGTTGCAGCTCTTTTAGTCACACCTCGCCCTCCCCACCTGTTCAGCACTTTTATTCACACTTGGGCACAGCGGCCACCCCTCGCTGCAGCTCTTTTTGCACCGTTTTGCCATTTCCCCCGTTGCAGCTCTTTTAATCACACCTCACCCTCCCCTCCCTGCAGCTCTTCCAGGGACCCAGGGCAGCGGCCGGCCCTCGGTGCAGCTCTTTTAGCGCCACTTCCCTTCGCTGCAGCCCCGGCCGCCTCCACCTCGCGCTTCTCTTCCCTCGCTGCTGCTCTTCCTCGGATCAGCTCTTGACACACAAGACGGTGGCGAGCCCTCGGTACAGCTCTTGCAGCGCAGCTCCGGCCTTCCCGTGCAGCCCTTTTATTCACCCCTCTGCGCAGTTCTCCCAGTGCTACTTCGCCCTGTTCCTCCGTTGCAGCTCTTTCAGTCACACCTCACTCCTCCCACTTGTTCAGCCCTTTTATTTACGCCTCGGCGAAGCGGCCGGCCCTCGGCGCAGCTCTTTTAGTGCCGCTTCGCCATTCCCCAACCGTTGCAGCTCTTTTAATCACACTTCACCCTTCCCACCTGTTCAGCACTTTTATTCACACTGGGGCACAGCGGCCACCCCTTGCTGCAGCTCTTTTAGCGCCGCTTCGCCATTCCCCCCCATTGCAGCTTTTAGTCACACCTCACCCTCCCCTCCTCCCTGTAGCTCTTACAGTAACCCAAGGCAGCGGCCACCCCTCGGCGCAGCTTTTAGTGCCGCTTCCCCATTCCCCAACCGTTGCAGCTCTTTTATTCACACCGTGCCCTTCCCACCGTGCAGCCCTTTTATTTACGCCTCGGCGAAGCGGCCGGCCCTCGGTGCAGCTCTTTTAGTGCCGCTTTGCTCTTCTACAGCACTTTTATTCACCCCTCAGCACAGCTCTCCCAGTGCCGCTTCACCCTGTGCCCCCAACCGTTGCAGCTCTTTTAGTCACACCTCGCCCTCCCCACCTGTTCAGCACTTTTATTCACACTTGGGCGCAGCAGCCACCCCTCGCTGCAGCTCTACTGCCGCTTCCCTTCGCTGCAGCCCCGGCCCCTCCACCTCGCGCTTCTCTTCCCTCGCTGCTGCTCTTCCTCGGATCAGCTCTTGACACACAAGACGGTGGCGAGCCCTCGGTACGGCTCTTGCAGCGCAACTCTGCCCTTCCCGTGCAGCCCTTTTATTCACCCCTCAGCGCAGCTTTTAGTGCAGCTTCGTCCTGTTCCCCCGTTGCAGCTCTTTTAGTCACACCTCGCCCTTCCCACCTGTTCAAAACTTTTATTCACACTTGGGCACAGCAGCCACCCCTCGGCACAGCTCTTCCAGTGCTGCTTCGCCATTCCACCCGTTGCAGCTCTTTTAGTCACACCTCGCCCTTCCCAACTGAGCACCCCTTTTATTCACACCTCAGCTCAGCTCTTTTAGTGCCCTTTCCCCGTCCCCCAACCGTTGCAGCTCTTTTAGTCACACCTCTCCCTCCCCACCTGTTCAGCACTTTTATTCACAATTGGGCCCAGCGGCCACCCCTCGCTGCAGCTCTTTTAGTGCCACTTCGCCATTGCCCCCCCATGCAGCTCTTTCCGTCCCATCTCACCCTCCCCTCGCTGCAGCTCTTCCAATAACCCGGAGCAGTGGCCACCCC